GAGCCCAACCTGGGACTCAAACCCATGAGCCATAAGATCATGACCTGAGCTGAGGTCGGATGCTTAACCGACTGAGCCACCCAGGCGCCCCTCTGGAAATCTACCTTAAAGGAAAGCATTAAATACCATAAAGCTACGTATTCACGGAGACATTAACTGTAAGGTTATTTGTACTACAAACTAGAAAAACAACCTAAATGTTAAATAGCTGTTGCCATTAAAAATATTTATGATGGGGTGCTTGGGTGGCTCAGTTAGTTGAGCATCTGACTTTGACTTAGGTCATGATCTCACAGTTTGTGAGTTTGTGCCCCACACTGGGCTTGCTGCTGTCAGCACAGAGCCCACTTTGGCTCCTCTGCCCCCTCACTCATTGCCACTCCTTCACTCGCTCTCTCCCTCTCTCTCAAAAATAAAACATTTTAAGGGCACCCAGGTGGCTCAGTTGGTTAACCGTCTAACTTTGGCTCAGGTCATGATCTCACAGTTCTTGAGTTCGAGCCCCATGTCGGGCTCTGTGCTGACAGCTCAGATCCTGGAGCCTGTTTCAGATTCTGTGTCTCTGGCTCTCTGACCCTCCCCCACTCACGCTCTTTCCCTCTCCCTGTCTCTCTCTCTCTCCCTCAAAAATAAACATTAAAAAAATTATTTAAAATAAACATTAAAAAATTATTTATGACTACTTATCACATGGGAAGCACCTTATGCTCTAATATTAAGTGAAAATGTAGGATACAAAATGATTACTGGGTGGTGGAATCATGGGATGGTTTTTATCTTCTTTTCTCTATTTAAATTCTGCTAAAGAATTATTTCATTTCTCATATTACTTTAAAGAATGTATGGCATTAGCTGAGAAGAAAGCCAGCGCCCACCCTTCTGCAGGTCAGAATGGGGGAGGCAGGGGGGGCAAGGCCATGGATGGCGCTGGGCCTACCTGCAGTGTGATTTTATTCTTCACGAGCAGCCCGATTTTGATATCCATGAGATTGAGGTCATTCTCCAGCTGCTGGTTAGAACGAATGAGGGTAATGACCTCTTCTCGCATCTTCATCAGATCGAGCTCCTCCTGGAAATCCTGGTCACTTTGGTCAAGCAGGTGCACAAATTTTCGGACCACAATCATAGGAGGATCCTCAGCATTGACTGACAGAAAGAAAATATGTGTCAGACACAGGATAGATTTACCAGCAAAAGTTCTAAATCTTGAGGAAATGTCAGCATTGTTTGGAAAAAACAACTCTATTCACACTTAAGTTATTTATTTGTGAGATGTGCAAGGACAGTCAGCAAGTACAGTGTTCTTGGTCATGCTACCGCTACGCCATGACAGAGGCTGACACAGCAAGCAACAAAACATCAAGCCACGGGGTTAGCAAAGGGGCTTACGTCACAAGCAGCACCCCACCCCCAAGCCTTGCCTGTAAGACCAGAAAAGAGATCCGCGGAGAATACCCAGAACCCGATGGCTCTCAACCACTGCCTCAACTCTTGTCTGCTGAGCACAGTTACTCACTGAGAGTCTTGTAGTCATCACGAGCTTTGTTTGCCCGAATAAAAGCCTGGATTTTGATAATGTCATTTATCTAAGGAACAGAGAAGAAGAAATTCCTTTGTTCGCTTGTCCACCAATAATACAGCAAAACTAATTCTACCGGTCCTCACACCAAGGGTACTCACGTGGTCTTGGAAATACTGCAGGCGATCTCTATAGCGCTTTCTGGCCTGGTGCATCCTTGCCAGGGACTGAATCTGTGGAAAAGAGATCCTGGAAATGAGAACAGTCCTTCTTCTCAACACATATCACTCATGCCCCACACTGAGAATCCCTGTCGGGCTACCATACCTTTACAACTTCATCTTTGTGGGCACGCAGGTAAGCTAAGCGATCTTGGTACGCCTTCTTCTGCTTGTATCCCCTCCACTGCGACTGAAACCATCAAACATTAGAGTTGACATATTACTTCCCAAGGATCAGAGGATGTTTAAAATCTCATCTTGATAGACTACCCATGTGCGATTCACGATGAAGCTTTAAAAAGGCCCACGCCCTCCAGTGCTGGGGAATGAGGGTGTGGGTCGTGCCTCCGCCGGGACAGCACGCTAACTTCCATGCTCCTAATGTTAGTGCAGCACTTCACACCTTTGAAGGGCACCCCCACAGGTCCCCATACTGGCTCTTTACAACAAATCAGGTGAGGAAGAGAAGTTTTAGTATTCCCATCTACGGACAAGGAAATAAACTCAGCAGGGTTCACCACTACCGGAAATGCTGGGGCCTTAACTCGTAATTCCGAATTCTTCCCAGGACACCAGGCTGCCCTGTCACTGTAGTAATACCACAGCTGTTTCCCTCCATACTCAAATCTCACACAAAGGAACAGTGTTAGAAGATAATGAGGTGCCCAAGAATGGCTTTTGGACTGGACCGCTCACCCCTAAAACCACCCAGCACGTTCCGACCGTTCTGACTGTAGCAGTAACAAAGAGAAAATACTTGTCAAAAAAGGGAGAGACCAAGAAGAGTGTCAGGGGGCAAAAAGCCCACTTGATCTCGAGAGCTGACCACTTATTACCCCTGCTCTAGAAGCCCACTTGCCATCTGTATAACAGACGCTGGGATACCTGAATGCAGGTGATGGCAGGGATTTGTTTCTTCAGGAAATTCATCCTAGATCGGAATTCCTGTCGAACCAAGTACCCGCGGCAACAAGCCTGCAGCTTGGTGATCAAGCCTTCGTTGGCTAGCCAAAGCTGTTCTCGGTTGTATGCAGCAGTCACCCCAGAGATGGAGCTCTGAAAAACATTTGGTCACAGGGGAAGACATACATAGGAGAAAATGGACACAAACTCTCATCCACAGAGTACACGCCAACCCTCACGGCTTTCTAAGTCTGTCCTAGATCTTTAAGTGGCAGTGGGAACGAAAGGCCCAGTTGTTCTCCCATCCAAAAAATAAAAGTCACAAACATACGATCTTGCTTCCTCCTATGGGATCTCCTTCACTCACTCACCCACCCAGCACTGACTGCCGGGAACTGTGCTTGCTAACAAGAGGACAGAGTGCAGGTGCTAACACAGGGCTGGGTACCAAGTCCCAGAGGCCCCTGGAATGCCAGAGCAGAGGAAGGACACCAGGGGAATGCCCAGATTGCAAATGGTCTAGAAAGGTAGCCTGGAGTGTATGGACTGTGACCACAAGCAGAGAACCAGCAAACTTTCAAAAGAGGAATAAAGCCATCAGAGTTGTAAAAAATATTTATTTCAGTAAACTCTACACCCAATGTGGGGCTCAAACTCATGACCCCCAGAAAAAGAGCCGCGTGCTCT